TCACCGAAAGGAGTCCACGAGCGGCTCCATCCTGACGAAAGCCTCACAGACAATGATGAAGCCGGCGACGTGCAATACCCTCTAGTGCGCCACCTCCTTTGACGAAGCAGTCCGTTCTCGGCAAAGCCAGCCAGCACCACCCCATTCGCGCTGGATGACCTCCACCTCGACATTGCGCTCCGAAATCATGAACGGGTCTGTGAGTCCTCCTTTTCCTCTTCCTTTCCCTATTTAAGGAGGAGATGCAGCAAGGATTGGGACAAAAAAAACCCTCTCTCTTCCCCCATTCAATGCGGATGGGAAATGATGGGATGCGCTCTGACCGATGGGAGGCACCCTGCCCAACAGAACAACGCCTGGTCAGACGGGATGTGGCCTGGGTATGGCCCACCACTACCGCATGCCGAGCGTGAGAAACAAAGTGCCACCATGCGCAGGCGGCCCTTCGCCTTCCCAGGTGGGACTTGGAAAAGCCCAACTATGGGATCTCCACCCAGGAGAGACCATCGGGCTTCCTGAGTCGATCGAACGGCTCAGGCAAACGCCGAGAGATAGGTAAGGAGCAGAGGGACGCCCCATGTGGGCCATGTCGACTCCGTCACAAACAACAAGCGTGGATCCCGATTGGACATTCCCGATTGGAGCTCCTCAAACCCCATCACTCGAGTCATCAAGGTAACATTACCAACCCCCACTATTTCTTTATATAATCATTCATGCATCTATACACGCATTCATTCATTCCATACTTCCAAAGCATTGCATATGCAGTCAAATGCATCACAACGATCCGTGTTGCATCACGAAGCGGCAGTTGCCTCATTCAACATGAGCAACGACCGACCGGGGTTCGAAGGCCGGCCCACGAAGGGCTCGAGGCCGCCTCGCGTCAAACAGAGCCAAGGGAGAAAACATAAATGAGCCCCGAGCGGCCCTCGCCCAGTCTGCCCCGAAGCAGATAGGGCCATCTCAACCTTCTCGTTTGATCCTAACCTCTACCAAACCCACAGAAATCTCCATCGAAGGGAGGCCAGCGGGCCACCCGGGTCAGTCTCCAGAACGACCCAGGCATCTGCCGGGTTGCAGGTTAAGGAGCAGTGGAATATCATATGAGGGCTCTGCCGACCCCATCACGAACGACGGACTCGGATTTCACTCGAATATACCCGTTAGCGAAGCTCACCGAGCGCGTCACTCGAGCCATCGAGGCAAGCGACGTTAGCTCAGCCTCTCCGGTTGCGAGAAACCACGGACGGGGTAACACACAAAACTCAACCGACTCCTACCAAGCCCAAACAGGACTCAGGGGCTCAAGACACCCAAAACTCCTAAGCTACGCCCAACGCTAGGATCCACAAGCTCCATCTCGCTCGATCCCTAAACTGTCTGGACTGTGCCCGACGCATGCGCCCGACGCTAGGATCCACGAGCTTCGTCTTGCCCAATCCCTAAACTGCCTCGGCTGCGCCCGACGCATGCGCCCGACGCATGCGCCCGACGCATGCGCCCGACGCTAGGATCCGCGAGCTCCGTCTCGCCCGATCCCTAAACTACCTCGATCCCTAAACTGCCCGCTGACAAAACCCCTAGGCGATTCTGTCCAAATCGCCCAGGGGCTTGGGGGCTACGCTCGCGGCTGCGCTCGCGTGCAACCGCTGACAAAACAAAACTTCTCCCGTTGGCAACACGAAAAAACCCCCCAAACGATTCTACCTGAATTGCCTGGGGGCTCGGGGGCTACACCAGAGGGTGCACCGCGCGCACCCGCCGTCAAGACAAAAATCCCCCAAATGATTCTACCCGAATCGACCGGGGGCTCGGGGGCTCCTGTCGGGTTCATAAACCCGGGGTCCCTCATGGACCGGCTTCACCAGCAAAGGCTTGGCCCAGTAGACGACGTTGAGAACGACGCATAACTCCTGGGACGGCCCAAATACCTTAACAACAGGCTAGAAGGGCAACCCAATCTCCGACCGGAAGGTCTGGCCGAGGAGAAACGATGCCCGCTTCCGACTCCGGCCCGCCTCCAGACGGCCTCTCTGACCGAAAGGCCTGGCCAAACACCACTTTCGACTCCGACCCATATCTCCAACCGAGGATGCGTCGAACCCCTGCATACAGCTCTTCTCCGACTGGCGCAATCAGAGCCGACTGGGACCAACCGATCGGGGACGCCCGCTTGGTGAGGACTAGGGAACGGATGGGGAAAGTAAGGTAGGACACTCAAGTCAATCGTAATACCAAGGACCGTACCATGTACACCTGCAGGACAGTACCCTGCGATCTTCCTGACATGACAGAACCCAAGCAGTGTTGTAGGCGCCGATATTTTCCCTACAGTGTTGTGGGCGCCATCAACTCCCATACCAGACAAACACGGTAAGGCTCTCCCCACATGCCTCTAGGCATCAACAGCGTTGTGGGCGCCGGCATTTACCGTACCAGGTGAACATGGTAAACCTCCCACATGCATTTGACATTAACAGTGTTATGGGCGCCTACAATCATCTTGTACCCGACGGCGTGGGCAACAAGATTTGGCATACGTATACTCTTCCTCTCTCACTTGTAAGGCCATCTGCTTCATCTATAAAAGAGAATACGCTCTCTCTCCAACAGATAGATCGATCTGTCCACAACAACTCGAACAACACACACAACAGGAGAACCACTAAGTTCAAACCTCGATCACACGTTCAAACACTTAGCACATAGCGGTGCTCCCGTCACACTCGGCCCTTCAGACTGGAGTTCGACCGGACCTCTTGTACCCCCATCTTTTTCTCCTTCCGTTTGTAACCCCACAGCAAACTTCGAGCACCTGGGCTCAGGAATAAAGTCACTGACCGACTCAAACTGGACGTAGGGCACGTTGCCTGAACCAGTATAAACCCTGTGTCATTGAGTGCTAGGCCACCTCCGATCACAACGTACAGCAAAACTACAAATATTTACGTGTTGATCATTTTCTGCATCGACATCACCTGTGCAAGTCCTGGGTTTAATCAAGGAAGAATTGGAGCTAATGAAGCGTGCGTGCAGGCAGCCAGAAGTTCCATAATTTTCCATAATGAAGTGGCTCATCCTTAAAATGTGTTTGCGGTGTTGGTTATTCATGTAATAAAACAATGTAAAACTTATGTTTGCTCCCTTCTTATATGATATATGGTAGAGCTTCTGCCAATGTTTAAAAAAATTGGTAAATTTTAGATCTCTTGGTGAACGTTGTGGTTCATTTTAAACTATTACATTTTTTGAGCCAAAATTTTAACACTATTATGTTTAGATGATATATAGGTTTTACTATTTTCCACTGTGAATTAGACATTTTGACTTCCTATAAATGGATCTGTCCTCCGTTTTACTTCATTGGCATGGTAAAAAAAGTTTGCCGAGTAGTCTACAAGAAAGACTTCTTGTCGAAGCAAATTGAGTCTACGATTTTTTTATTGTATGTGTAAGAAGTGTCGATTCTCAATAAAAAAAAACACGCCTATTGCATCCAGGGCATGCTTCTTTTAGTGAAAGACATCCTTGCGGCAGACATTCACATTATCCAAACGCGATCCTTTGGTAATTGGTAGTGGACATCACCATCGGAACGAGACTGCGCTGGAGATTGGTCCTGCAGCAACCGCTAAAATGATAATAAATCGGAGCTGGGCAGCTGGCGGAGCAAAACGACTGGCCGAAATGACTCCTCCTGGAGGAATCTGAAATGCATGTTCAGAGAAAACATGTACCAGTATATGTGTGCTTCAACTTTAGCAGCCTGTTTGTTTCATCGTAAACGATCGTAGATTATTTACTGCTGACTGGTTTTGTATGAGAGAAAAATACTGTTCCAGTTTATAATCCACGATCGTATACGAGCAAGCGAACAGACTGATAGATAGCCTTTTGACAAATGAATTCTGAACAGTTTAGGAAGTTCGTTTGGATCCACTAATAACTAACTATAAAAGAGTGCAATTCTACTAGGGCCCCGTTCGGTTCTCTCGGAACCGAGCATTCCAGGCCAAGAAATATTCCAATCTAGTACAAATCAGTGAACGAGCTGTTCAGCTGGGAATTGATCCCAGACAACCGAACGGGGCCTAGGTATGAACCTGGACAAGCACTTGTGGAGATTCATACATAGAATTGTACTCTTGTTGGGATAGAAGGAGTACGTGGTAGCTGAGACATCAGCTGACTTATTAGCTGATGATCCAAACAAGTATGGATTCAAACAGACCCATAAGAGGAAACATTTAAGACGACATGGTAGGGCTAAATCGAGTGCAAGTTATGTGAACTGCAAGATCAGTTCCTGGATGAGCAAGTGAACAGCAGATTTAGGCAGCTGGACCTTTCAATGTTCCACTTCGGCTTCAGTCTCTGCGCCATTTTCCTATTCAGTGGATAAATTGTCCAAAGCAGCCGCAATCCAAGCACACAGCCTCCCAGTTCCCACTACCATTTCCCCAAAATTTCCACAACAATCGCAATCCACCTAACCGAGCTCGGAATTTTCCAAACAAGGGAACGCAACAGCACCACAGATAAGGTGGCAAGAAGATCAGGCTGCCGACATTACAAGAACAGTGATAGATCGTACTTGTATTCTTTGACCTTATACAATGAAAACAGCACACAGCATGTACCATACTCGTGTATACATGGATCCCTCGAGACGAGACGATCGAGGGCAAAGACTGAAACTGAAAGCAAAGTATGAAAGAAAGCGAAATCGGAACTACTAGTCATCTATAGCTGACGAAGTGCTAGCGCCGCCTTCTCGCCGGCGTCCAAAAACCAAACCGTCCGGCCGACAGAAGGGGCACTTGAAACTGAGAAGTTTCCACGGGGTGTGTGGCCTGTACAGAACACAACAACGGACTGAACCCTGATCCTACGGTGTATAACGTACATGGAGGACCTGATCAGACAAGCCTCTTCCAGTGCACACTTTGGTGAACAAATTCAGACAAATTAGGCATATTTGTCAACGACAACAATCATTGGGATGATGTCCTTGGAGCTGCATCAAGCAATGCAAAGAAGAAATGTTAGGACTTGTATATGACGATATATATACTTTGTACTGAAACATCTTGTAGCCAGGACATGCATGGATTTGGGGTCTTACATAGGCTGACGGCCTCGGAGCTCTTCATGAGGCGGATCCTCTTGCATGAGTCCACGAACATCCTGCGTTCATGTGAAAGAGAGGGATTAGCACGCTTGACAATAAAGTGTTTCACCGATTTGGATTGGATGGAGATCGTCAAAACTGATTAGCAGGAACAAGCGAGAAGAGGTGGGTACGGTGAATTACTTGAAGGGGACGTCTCCTACGAGCATCCAGTCGCCGTCCTTGTCCTCGTAGGTGGGCACGTACTCGGCGCCGGTGGCGGCGTCGACGAGCCTCCCGGCCCCGTCGGCTCCGAGGCAAGAGGCGAACATGCCGTGGAGCGCTCGGAGCAGGGCCGCGTACCCGTCGTGCGCCGCGAGGTCCACCTTGCGCAGGTACGGCGCGCCGTCCACGGCCACCTTGACGAGCTTGGCCTGCTCGTCGCGCAGCGCGTTGCGCCGGTACGCGCGCACCGGCGGCCACCCCACGGCCCGCGCCCTGCAACAAGTCGTGAGCGTCCGGCCAGGTCAGTCAACAAATTAAAGCCGTCCATGGGCGTCGTATCCGCGCGTGGGGCGGTGCGTGAGCGTGAGTGAGGGAGAAGAGAAGGGCAAGTAAGAAGGCGCGCACGTACTTTGGGGAGGGCGGCATGTCGTGGTCGGCGTGGGCGCGCTTGCGGTCGGCGGCGGCGAGGTCGGCGGCGGAGGAGGAGCCCGGGAGGGCGAGGGTGAGCGCGGTGTCGTCGTAGTCAAGGCCGGACACGGCCGGGGAAGCCGCGGCGGAGCTGGTCGAGCTGGTCGACATCACTGGATGCGCGCACTTGTTCCGGCTTCTTCTCTCTGAGTCTGAGAGTCTTAGGTGTTGCTGCACCGTTCGTCCGGCCGATAAGCTTTGCTTGGTCAGGCCGCGCGCGCAGAGGACGAACGCGGCTGCTGCGGAGGGGAGGAGTGGGAGGGGAACCGGGGGGACAGGCAGGCTCGGAGAAGGACGCGGTTGCGTTGCGCGGTCGCTGTCGGGGGCGAGTGCGTGCGGTGTACCGGAGGACGAACGAGAGGTGGCCGCTGCCTATAAAGATGCGCGCGGTCGGCGGGGGCCCCGCGGCCGCGGCGCGCGCTGTCCGGTGTGGTGCTGGTGCCGCGTGCGTGCGTGTGGGAGAAGTGCACTCGGCGGCAGCACCTTCTGGGGTTCAGGAGCCCCGAAATTTCACTGCTGCTGCTGGCCACTAGTCAGGTCGCTGGCTTCTGTGTCTGCTGGCTACGACTCACGAGCGTGTCGAGCACGTGCAGGCAATGAGGCAACAGCACTGGACTTGCATGAAATTCGATCAGTGAAAACATGCACGATGCTTGATGCAACACTGGGTACTTCCGATTGAAGTGAAGAGGAGAGTTCGTTTGGTGTTGGTATGAAAAGTTTGAATCTATCTGAGTACACTAGAGAGGGTTCGAGCGTCTATGTACTGCTCTTCTGACCACCTAGGGCGTTGTTAAGGTGTGTTGTATTAAATATTTTCCCTACCTTAATACAGAGACGGCGCAAACTTTTTAGAAAAAGTTGGATTCTATCGACAGCAAAGTGACTGAAAACCGAAGAATGTTTCCAAGAGAGGCAGTGCCAAGCACACCCCAGTGCAGTAGTTACTGTAGTACTATCGTTTGGGACAGCAACAGGAAGCAGACAATCTTGCAGTGCACGAGAAGAGAAGACAAAGGACGGACAAGACGATCCATCCTCCACTCCTGTTACTCGCCCGATCCGGCTGACAAGTGGCGCGGAGGCACGTGAGACCCACCCGTCAGGATCCGGGACCACGGGAAGTCGCCGTGGCGGCAGCAGGCAGGCATCGCAGTCGCAGTCGCAGTCGCAGTGGGCGAAGGAAGGGGGCAGTTGGCATGTCGGCGCGCTGTCCCCTGCTCGCCTTTTGACGACAGGCGAACCCGATGCCTCGTCTCGGTGCGTGCGCAGCGAGGCAGGAAGGGACGGACCCAGTCGGCCAGGCCTCAACCGACGGCGCGGGCGCGCGGGCGCGCGGTTCTGCCCTGCCTTGTGCGCGCGCAGCCGCTGCCGCCTGCCGGCCTCCGCAGACCGCGGCCGCGGTTGTGTGCGCGGCGGGGATCCTGCCGTGCTCTTTCCTCCCGTCCGCGACTCCGCGTCCGACCGAGCGTGCTCGAGCGCTGTTTCCTCCGTTTCTGCTCGGCAGCATCCTGTGCCCGCCCGCGACCGCTTGCTGACTTTCCCGCCGCCGTTGGCCGTCCTCTTTACGCTTCAGCCTGACAGGTGCTTTGCTATCAGTTTCGATTCCTTTGGATCGGATACTTCCGCTACCTAGCTAGCTCCCTCAAGAGTAACGACACGATGTAAAACACGAGTGGCTTTTCATCCGCGGTTTGTTTGGGCAAAGAGACGGTATCACCGGAGCCATGACATTTTGGACTTTTGGTGGTACATAAAAGTGCTCGTTGTGAACTGAAAATTCTGCACTGCATTCCCCCGATTTTCCTCTCAGAAAACTACTGACAGGTTTGGCCTGAGCCACAGTGCACACCACTCATGAAGTCATGATCGCAGAGATGCACCCGCATTCCACCTGATTACTTCCCTGCTTGGTTCATCAACTGAAGGCATGCACTACCTACAAATACAAGCTACGACGACCCGCTAACAACCGCACCCCCATGTGTCTCGCAGTTGCAGCACAAATAAAGCCACATCCGAAGAGATACATATCCATGATGCACCTTTCTGTTGGAATCGTCCCAGGAAATCAAACACTATGCCCATCCAATACGGCATAGGCCTAACCATTTCTCAGCTTTTGATTGAAGCCAAGGCAGGTAGTGGGAGCCCTAGGTAGTGGGCGGGCACGAGGAAATGTTCCGTTCCGTCCGTCCCCCGCGCACGAATCGCTCGCTCGGAACCCTAAGAAAAGCCAACGGGGTGGAAGGGAGATCGAGGGAGGGGTTTAGGGGATCATGCACGATTTGACCAGCACTAAACTAGGCGAAAGCGCAGGAGGGGTTTTGGCCGAAAGCGTAGCTCGGCATCATTTGGACGGAATGGCTCTGTGCCTTTTTCAGCTTGTTTTTTCAATTGAAACAGTGTTTTTCTCTCACAGTAAAGCAGTCGGAATAATATTTTGGTTTATTTTTTCAGCGAAGCAAACGGGGCCAATGGAGGGCCCCTGCTCTGCTCTGCTCCCCTGAACGCCATTACGGAATAGATTAGTTAAGCGGATACTTGTGGATATGCCTGTCGGGTGAAACCGACCACGACGTCGACGGTGACGTTTCAGTTCTGCTAATTGTTAGAATGCACGAGTTCCTCTTTATCTCCTCATTGGTGGTTTTCTTCTGTTCGTTCCACACTGCTAGCTCAAACACGTGCTCTTGTGAGAGACGTGCTTCATAAGCTCATAAAATTAATAGTTTTTTTTATAAAAAAGATCAAAAGTGAAGGATTTAGATAGTAATGACAATTGCATCACAGCAGCGTTGCGCTCTCTTATTCCTTATTAATTAGGAATAGCGAATATATCCTCACTTTCTCTGGAGTAAATGGTTGATTAGCTCCCTCCCTCATTTAAATTTGACGCAACACCGCTCGAACATTAGTAGTACATGATTACGCAGCGGCTATCATATTATTGACAAGCGAATCTGAGCGCAAGGATTTATTCGATCTGTTATGATAAACACTATTAGTACTATGTGTGTTTCATGAGCAGGGCTCCGCTCTCAACCACCAATCAATTAATCTACTGCTATGCAAAACTAACCGGCTGCCGTTATAACTGTATCATGCCGATCGGCGTATCATGTCATGTGAGGCCTCATGATCGATCTCTCGTGGCAGCCGCTCCGGCAAAGAATCATATTTCGGTGTATCCTCCTCAGCTGATGATGCGACGTGCACCATCACTGAATCAATATATATATGTAGTGTGTGCCAGAGTAATTAATTAACCTGCTGCAGGGAGATGTACATGTTGCGTTGCAAGCTAATTAACGACCTAATCAACAAATTAGCAGGAAGATCCTCTTTTCTGGTTAATCAATGTCTCATTGTTGCAACATTACGAACTACTACTATAATTGAAAATCTTTATAAGTTTCTCTAGGGCAATGATATATACGATACTTGTTTTCCTTTTCTTTAGTGCTACTAGTACCAGAAGCTAATCAGAGGGGACAATTCGTTTTCAGTCAACAATTCAGAAGCTAGAGCTGCCATCCATTATTGTATTCTCGATCAGAGTTTTGTATAGAAGATTTGTTAGAGAGAGAGAGAGAGAGAGAGAGGGAGAGAGGGAGAGATTAATATTTGTGTATTATCCAAGAAACGCTTATGAGATTCAGCTTTCTGCATCAGAATTCAGAAATTTTGCCTGTGCTGTCGACTCCAGTCCTAATCATGGATCTCTTCTCTCTCACATGCACACCTGACATCAAACACGGAATCACATTATATTAGCACGGATCTGCCTTCTGACCAACGTAAAACCATCTATAATTCGTATTGCACTCCTATAATACAGTGTGCATGCAGAAGCCATGGCCATTTATAGACTCTTCTCTACGCGTTATGCAGTCTAAATCTATGGAGCCAAGATGTTGCCTGAAAATCAATTAGTTAGAGTAAGGGAGATCTAATAAGAGCCAACCTGACCGTCCAAACTTTTTTATGTCCAAAATACAAGCAGTACAAGTACATGTTGTGTCTGTCCCTTAATATTATATAGGGAAAGATAGAATTCTTCAGCCCATTGATTTTTTTACTATCTGACATGTGGGCCCATAAATAAACCACGTTCGTCCCTCGGAAACCATCGCGTCTGTCCATGACTGGTCTCTCAAATGAAGTCCAACAGGCATGCAGAAAAACTAATAAAGATGATGAACTAATCAGAGATATTTATGACCATTCGCATAAGCAAAGAGACAAAATCTTTATCTTTTAACGTAATGACATGAGCTCTGTCTTTTAATTAAGTAACAATGAAAGAGAGTTTATGTACTGACAGTATAAGCAAAAGAGAGACACTTCATAGTAGAGTAAAGAGCATTGCTGCAGCAAATAAGGAAACACTCTCCACTAGGGGAGGCCGCGGCTAGGCATAAGCAAAAGCTCTCTTTCTCTGCTCTATATCTTCCTTAATTCTTGCAGCCACCTGTAGTATTGTTTCAGTTGCGTTATTGAAAATTCTCGTGTTTCTCTCTTTCCAAATATTCCAAAATCAGTAGATTATCACCCCGTTCAACCTTCTATGTTCATAGTTTCACCGCCTCCTCACCCCATTTCCTGATGTGGACAGGGGCATCTTGGAGATGTGACTCAGCTCAGTGAAGTTCTTCTAAGAGAGGATTTGGTCTCAAACCGCCATTGCAAAGGGACAACACAAACAAAGGTGAAGGCCGGTTTCTAAGGGTCCATTGCAAGGTGAAACAGAGTTGGATCAAACCTCGAATTGTATTGATCTCAGTAATGAATATATATACGATTACAACTCTGCAACCTCCACTGAAAACTCTACGCGGGAAGCAAGCCTGCGGTGTAGCTGACTAAGTGGAGGCACTGGCGTGCGCGGCTAGTGCGCGACGTGGGCGAGCGCGGTCCGGCGCGTGGTCTGGTGACCGAGTCAAAACACGGAACTGCAAGCTTCCGTTATCACAAAGCATGCAGTGTTTTTGGTGTGGCTACCCTCTTTTATAGATTGTGCGCCATAAGAATTTTGTTCTGCACTAGAATCCAGGAGAAGATCTTACATTTGTTCTCCACTTGTGCTCTCCAAATTTGGTCGCTAAGGA